TCAAATCTTGGTAATATCAATATCCATAAATTTGTGCTTTCACAAAAGCAGCTTTTTTTTCCAGATAGGTATGGTAAGACAAACATTTAAAATTTCTTAACACACATGCAGAAATTTTTTTAATGCTTGTATTTTCAAAACAAAAAATAACATGTAAAGGAAGAAAAAACACCACTGGACCATAATATCTCATCTGTGGGCCTTCTATGCCTTCTAGTAAATTCTAGTAACTATGAGATGAGTGTAAAAATTAATGACGTGCTCATTAGGATTTAAATTATCCATATTTTAGACCTCTGCCAGGTGCTAAATCAGACAACTTATAGTAATGTTTTCTTGATTGAAAACCTCCCTGCTTAACTTAATTTCCTCATTTAATCTTATCAGCTATCAGACCCTTTGTGCCTTGATGAAGATCTTTAAAGCTGTAGTCTATGTTCCCACATAGGACATTTTCCCCTTAGTATGCAACATGTCATCTCTTCCATACAGCTTTTAATCAATATCTTCTTGTATTATTCTATTTGCGAGGGACATTTGATCATACCCAGTTGTACTCAGAGGCATTCCCAGCTCTGTGCTCAGGGGTCTCTCCCAGTGGTGCTTGTATGTTGCCTTGGATTAATTGCAAGAAAGGCAAGAGTCATAATTCATATAATATCTCTCTGGCTCCAGTTTTTATAGATCTTATTTTAATTCCATCAATTTTTATAGATAAAATTATTATAGATTCATCCATTTTTCATAGATCTAGTTTTAATTCCATCAATTCCAGGTATTGATTAAATACATCTTAGTATTTTTCCTATAAATCAACTCCTTCTATATTTCATCAATTTTACTTTTTCTATAATCATTTTAGTAAACTAAATGAATTATATTAGAAAACTGCCTCACAAAGAAAAACTGTAGGGGCCAGAAAGTTAGGGATTAAAGCACTTGCATATATGCAACTAACCCTGATTAGATCCTCAGCAACATATATGGTCCAGGAATGTCCCCCGAGCAGAGAGCAGGGAGTAGACCCTTGCACCATTGGGGTTCAAATTCACAAAAAATAACTAGATAACTATGCAAATAAGCATTTATATGCTATTAAAAATCATAGATGTTGCAATAAGAAGTTATAATTCACTACCTTATAAACTAAATTCAATACCAAGTAGAGCACAAGCCATAAAAAAATGTATGATAAAGTTATTCTCAAGTTTCTAGGTTAGGAAAAAAAACTTTTTCTAAAAATTAAGGAGCTAGCCAACTCCCTTCCTTGGGAATATGATATTCTAAAGGTGGCATTTCTGTTTGAAGGAAGATTTTACTATACATGAATTTTAATGGTTCTAACAAATGAAAATCTATTGAGCATGTAATATAGACAAGGTATTTTTACAGAGCTAGAGAGGTTAAAAACCTTAGAATGATAATCCAAATTAGCTAAAATTTTGTATTCAGATCTGACTTCATTCAAAGAGCTAATTACTTCATCATTAAAACACCAAGAAAGAGATAAGAAACTTTTGTTATATGCAAAATGAATCAATGGAATTTCCGTTCAGTATCTTGAAATTGTAAGTTTTACATTACAGTTCATTTTTTTTAAAACTAGGCAATACTCTAGTCCTCTCTACTGTTGTCAATAGCTTGCTTGTATGTTTACTTTGTTTCTTGATAGACTTTTTTAAAGTAACATACTTCCTAGGTAGAGAAAATATACATAGAAAAATCAGAATAAAATAGGCTGACAACTGTCTGCCATTTTAATTTTAATAATAAGAAAACTTTACACCAAATAGTTGGAAAAAAGCTTATTGACAAAAGCTCTAGTAAAGATTTTTGTTTTGGCTTTGGGCCATATCCAGCTGTGCTCAGAGCTTACTCCTGATTCTGTGCTCAGGGATTGCTCTTGGCAGGGCTCAAGAAGACTATGTGGGGATCTGGGGTATGAACCCAATTGTCTTCTTGCAAGGCAAGCACCCTACCAGCTATACTCCATCTCCAGCCTCTCTACTAAAGTTTTATGTTAACTCTTAATATCAGTCAGATACAGTTAATTAAATGTGAATTAAATTCACATTCAATGACCCTATTATAGAAATACAGTAAGACTAAACACATACACACACACAACACACACAACAGTCAAAACTCCTGAGGCCTCAGGGTTAGAAAGATAGTATATGGGGTTAAGGAACTTGCCTTGCATGCAGTTAACTCTGATTTGATCCCTAGTACTGGCATATGGTCCCTTGAGAACTGCCAGCAGGGATCACTAAGTACAGATCCAGGAATGAGCCTTGAGCACCTTATATGGCCAGAAACCAAAAAACAGCAAAGAAAAAAAAACATTAGGCTTCAAATTATACTTGATTAAAGGTCATAAATTTTCATCTGTCTTTTCCACCACCCTTAAATTTTCATGGTATTTAAAAACTTTTCTGGTAAATCTATTTCCTAATAACCTCTCAAACTATAAATCTATTTGTGAATAGTTGCTTACATAGGCACTCATAATTTTTAAATTGCACTTCTAATCTTCATTTTGAGATTCAAGACTCTTGGAGATTTTCCTCACTACTTGCAAACTTTGGACAAAATGATATGCATTTAAATGTTGATTTCTTCTCAGATAATCTGAGAGAAGGCTGCAAGTATACATTCATCTCATATGCTTCTATGGAGACTTTATGACGTTTGTAGCCATTCCTTTTAAAAAGTTGCTGAAACTACCTAAACTCAAATTTATCTGCAACATACTTTATAACTGTGAACTACTTAAAATTTGTACAAACTCATAAACAGATCTGAATTTTTGTGGCTAACATAGGATTTAATTTTCCTCAGTACCTCTTCAAAATATTCAAGTATTTTCTATGAAGGGCACTGCCCTCTACTTAAAGATAAACTGACATAAAAACTCATTTCCATCCCATTCCTTAGATGGCTATAAGATGCTAAGCTTCAACTTTGCATTCCACAGTCTTGCTTTGGGGTTCTTTCTGTTCTAAGTGTGGAGACAGAGTCATAAGTTTCACAAGACAGAATCATTTTTCACAAAAACCTACTCAAAATTTTTCAATTTTTAAAGACAAAGTTTAGGAGAAAAGAAGATAAAATAATCTGCCTTCCATCTCAGAAGAACTTCAGACATTCCAAAAATATAAGGAGGGAGAAAAATACCCACCATAATGTGATAACTAAGAGAGAACAATTTAAAATGGAGATAAAAAGTAAAATAAAATAAATAAAAAATAAAATGGTGATTAAAAAACATTTGTGTTTTACATAAAGTCCACACTTCTGAGAAAGCAACTTTCCAGAGTGGTCATTACTCAAAGATTTTAAGACCAGACTGGATTGTCACCTATGTGAATCATGAAAATACATGCACACAGTGTGTGTGTGTGTGTGTGTGTGTGTGTGTGTGTGTGTGTGTGTGTGTGACCTTCTCAAAGTCCTCTGAACTTTGCCACAAGAGACAACTTCAGACCATGTTCCTTCTATAGCAGCTGTCATTTGAAATTCCAAACCAGTTCCACCCAAGAAGTTCCATTAATACTGAACCTTGATCGTTTGATGTTTGAAAAGTCCATAATTTATGAAAAGAAAGCGTCAGTCAGAACCCTCTGGAAAACTCTAAGCTCCTCTTTGGGGAACAAGTTAGAAGCTCCTCCAAAAAGGAGGTTCTAAGAGAGTATCTCAGGGTTAAAGACCATAAAAGTAAAAGAGACTCCAGTCTCCCTATGGCTGTCCACTCCTAGGTTCTGGTTTCCTAAAAATAGTCCTCGGAGTGCAGATCCCTCTTTTCCTGTGCCCTAAGAAAGCTAAAGAACTCTCCAGGGGAGTGGCCACTTCCCTCTGAAACCTTAAGCTAGCTGTGAGGTCACAGCTTCCCCAGAAATAAAAGGAAGCCTTAGCCAGGGAGGCCCCCACTAAGGGACAGCCGCAGCCCTCAGCTCTCCAGCCTCTCCGCTGTCTTGCAACTCAGCAGCTCCATCATGGTGGGTCCTGTGAGAAACTGTTTGCCGTTTATCAGAGAATCTATGTAGTGGATTTGATTATATTGAGAAGAATGGGGGAAAGAGTAGAATTGAAACGAGAATCTATTTAATAGGAGTCTCTAAGAATATTTTTGATTTTTTTTGTCGAGGGGGATTGCAGAAAGAAAAGATTAATTGCAACTACTCTGCCAACTGAAAAAAAACGCATCTTACCACCCAAAGTGAAACTTTATGCTTCACCACCTTTAACTCTCTATCATATTAGATTGATCATATTTAAACTAGAGGGAGTAACCTGCAAATATTGCAAAATGCTCTGCCTTTAAAACATTCAGATGTTAAGAAAGCTAAAACTAAGTAAATGACTTTCAAAGCATAGGGTAAAAATCAACCGGTTAAAGGAAAGGAAGATTTAACTTGATCTTAACTTGATCTTCTGTATTTTTTAAATGCAGTGTAGCTCTATTACACATGTCTTAAATACATCATTCCAGGAAATATTTGAGTTAGCATTTGTTAAATCATTGATTAATATGTAGAGATGTTCCATCACTATCTTTTGCAATAGCTTTCTATTTTTCCTAGATTCAAAAGTATCTGCAGGAACACTCTTATTCTATGACACTTGTAGGACTTCCTAAAAACCACAGATCAGAGAGCAATCATTCTGTCAATGTATTTGAATGACTACTAGTTGTTTCTTTCTCTTTTTCACCTCTGCAGTCCTTCAGTGCTGACCAGATTGCTGGTAAGTGAATTGAGCTTTTCTCTATGTAGGCAGAGCACTGCCTAGCTTCTGAAAAAAAATCACTTTTATCTCCAAGGCATGCCACTGCATGGTTCAACCTGTTAGTGTCCAAGCTATGCCTGAACTCTGAAAAGTAGGCTGATTTTTGAGTCTTACTTTGAAGATTTCTCAGGGAATGAGCTTGGATACATTAAAAAATCAGGACATTTATGTTTGGTTAAAATACTTTTTTGTGGTTAATTTCTTTCTAACAGATCGAGTTCTCTAAGGAACAACAGGATGGTAAGTTTAAAAGATACAGTTGTTGATATGTGCACACTCATAAAGATGGCATGTGAGAAAACCAGCTCCCTTGAGAAGAGATTAGCTCTTTCTAATTATCCCCACTGGTGTTGCCACTCTAAATATAAGATACTCTCAATCACTCTAAATATAAATGATCTCAGCCTGAAACCCTTGCTTATAATCAGTAATCAAATGTTTAAGAAAACAAAAAATATCACAAAGTAGGTCCTTGTAGTCACTGATGGCTAAATGAAACCAATTTGATGCAGTAGGCAAAAGCAAATATATAATCAAAAGAAGATATATTTGGGGTAACTAATTTGTTGAATAATCCAAAAATAGGATTTGGTAGGTTTGAATCATTCAATTTGGAAAGGATAATTGATTATGAAACTGTCTTTCACCAAGTCTGCATCATTTCATGGGGCACCATAGTGAATTGAGAGAAATAATAAGGAAGTGGGTGTGAACAAAACTGAACTGAGAAAAAAAGGTGATATCATTTATCATAAAATGATAGATGAAATATTAGACATTTTTATCTACCCTTAGGCATGAAAGATAGTTCCCAGAGAGGTCTTAGTTCTTGCCCCAAAACCCAAAAGATCAAAAGGTCAAAATCTTTTACTGGTTAAAATTATTAGAGTTTTCATCATTTTTATTAAAAATTTTTAAAATATAAGAATTATTTTGAATTAGTTCCTAACTATAGGTCTCATTCCCCTGACCCTGAAAGAGCCTCCAATTGTTGGGAAAAGATGAGTAAGAAGAGGCTGCTAAAATCTCAGGGTTGGGAGGAATAGAGACGTTACTGGCACCTGCTCGAGTAATTTGACAATCAATGAAATGACAGTGATACAGTAATAGTTCCTAACTAGAAAACATCAAACTCTTAAAGAGTTCAGAGATCTGAATAGTTGACCTAGCACTTTCAGTTTTCCTTGTTTTGGAAATTTGGATCCAAAAATTCCCATGCCCTAGAATCTTGTTTGCTTCATTAAGAAATAGAGAGGAAATTGTGTACTGGAAAGAAAGTATCATATTTTCAAATAAATGGAGACAGCAATATATCTGTAAACGAGTAAGAAAAAAGGTTTAGTAATTTGGAATATTATTTATACTAATATCTATATGTGTTATATGCAATGTCACTGTCACTGTCACTGTCCTCCCGTTGTTCATCGATTTGCTCGAGCAGGCCCAGTAACGTCTCCATTGGAGACTTTGTTGTTACTGTGTTTGGCATATCGAATACATCACGGGTAGCTTGCCAGGCTCTGTCGTGCGGGCGAGATACTCTCGATAGTTTGCTGGGCTCTCCATGTATAAATAATAATTATATATGCTTGATAAGAACTTACTTAGATATTCCATTCTCTTCCTAAAGGATTCCACATTTTAAGTCTGTTTCAATGTCTAAATATGTTTGGACATCATTTAAGGAAAAATGGTATTTTCTGTAGTACAGACTCACAACTATCTGCATTATGGCTGATGGCCTCAAGTAAATAAATTATTTGAGTTGATGACTGACAACTCAAAATAATCTAAAAGTATACTGCAAAGTCTATTTTTCTTTTTTAAAACAATTGGTGAGTTTACATTTTGTTTTAGTGCATAATTAGATAGTAATGCTGAATCATATTCAACTACTATATCCCAATCCTTTCAAATATCTGATTTATTGTGTCATTGTGACTGCCAAATTGTGATAGGATCAAGTGAGGAGGCTTAAAACTCTTAGCAGGGACAAAGGGACTTACTATGGATTATTAAACCTGTTATTCTGCCCATTATTCTGCATATAAAACCAGTTGGATATAGAAGAAATTTCAGTAAACATTTATATGGTGGACTGGTTTTCTCATACAAGGCAAACAAATGTAAGTTTTTAAAATTCAATTGAAACCTGTACTTTCAGAGATTAATAAAGACTTCCTTTGTTTGCTTCTTTCCTTGTTTGTTTGCTAATGATTGCTCTATTTGAAGGTACTTAGGTTTGGGACAAAAGAAGAACAAAAACAACTAGAAAACTATAGCATATGTTTTCTAAATATTTTTGCCTCCCCCAACCCCTTTTTAAAAATTTAGGCGACATGATTTACTTAAGGTCCAACTCCATTGCTATCTAGTAGAGCTGCAACTGTTCACGAGTGGCTGTTTAAATGTAAACTTTAATTTATAACAAATGTTTATTAGAATCCATTTTCTCAGTTGCATTAGTCTTACTGTAGTGCCCAAGAGCCATGGGTAGTGAAATGAAGTTACCTTTTTGAGCAGCCTAGATACAGAATATTTTGGCTATCACAGAAAGTTCTAGAACAGTGTTGTTCTAGACAAGAACTGATAACCTTTTCCTCATTTTCCCCAAAGACAGAGTGGTAAATATATTAATCTTTTCTGGTAATATATATTTTTTATAAATAACTCAGCTATATTATTGAGATATAAAAATAGCAATAAACAATATATAAATAGGCATGGTTTATCCCAATCAAAAAAACAAATCCCAAAACATACTTATATGCTAGCCCCTAGGCAGTAGTTTACTAACCTTCATTCTAGATCCTAAAGTCAGTAATTAAAGTTTCAAAATGTGAATTAGACTGAGCAATATCTTTCTGTTCTTGGTTACATCAGCAAAAGGGTTAATGTCAGAGCGATTTTATTACAGCCCATAAAAATGCTATTTCTATATCAGCATCTGACCAGAGTAATAGAGCCCTTTGAGCAATCTGTGCACGAACGACTGGAGACAGTAACAAGAATAGTTCAGTTTCACATGTCCACTAGAACTATGAAAAATAATATTTGACTTATGACCACACAATGCCTGCAGCATGCTTTTGAGATTTAAATAAAATGTTATTGTCCAGTTTCATAGAATTCGGAAAGGGGGATTTTAGCAAAAACAATGACATGTATAGTTGATTATGGATATGTCTGGGTGCAGTCAGATAGGGCGATGAAGGCACAACAAAGTAGAATTATTTACTCAATAATCTAGATAGCATCTTTTGATTTAATATCACTAATGGCCTAAAAATAATGCTTTCACCTCTGCCAATTTATTCACAAGTAGTTTTTTGAATGTTGTTGGTTTTTAACTACAACAACTTGCCATCAAAATTTTTGGATTTCCCAGAAATTTTCATTTAGTTATTCTAAAAGTTTCTATTAAAATGACTTTACTGACCACTAAATCCATAGCAGCAACCTATATTCTCTCCATGTCTCTGTGTTCCTCTGTCTTTGTCTTTGTCTCTGTCTATGTTCCTCCATCTCTCTCTCTCTCTCTCTCTCTCTCTCTCTCTCTCTCTCTCTCTCTCTCTGTTTCTCTCTCTCTCTCTCTCTCGATTTTTTTAATTCCTTGTTTAGGAAGAAAAATGACAAAGTTTAGAAAAAATCAAAAGACATGAAAAAATAGAAAACACTTTAAAATATGTACTACTACTTGCATACATACTTAAATACATACACGACTAAATGAGAAATCTGAGTATATTAGTGGTTTGTCAGTGTGAGCCATCCTGGTTGGGATATAACTTTACAAAGTTGTAACTTTGTACAATGTTAATATTGGAGAAAACTAGAGTATAGTACTTCAATGATATATGTTTTCTACGACAACTATATGTGAATTTACCATTTTTCCACAAAACTCTCATTTTAAAATGTGTACTTAATTCTAAACAAATTTAGCAACATATTGCCATATGTATTATCTGAAAAACAAGTAAAATTCAAAGAGATTATCATAGTGATATGTTCAAATAAATATTCCTCCTACTTGAAAGTTACCTAGTGTACTTTGAAAAAAAGAAAATTACTATAGAACTTAGGGATTGTCTCACTTTTCTAAGTTCTTCCTTAAAATAAAATTACTCCTAAAATAAGCTTAGTAGATTACTTAAAGTACTGAAGTACATGTTTTGCATGTCTGAGTCCCAGGTTTGATTCCTTATACCACATGATCCCCTAAATAAAACAGAAATAAACTACAAGCACCACGAAAGGGGGATAGGGGTGCTCTACACAGAGAAAAAATTAATTCTGAAAAAATTATTAATTGGAGAACATAAAAATTGTACCTTAGGATGAAATATTGTATTATAATTGAGAAATTTGTATGAACTTCATATACTGTAACCACAATTGAATTTTTGAAATTGTATTAATTTTGATAACTATGTAAGTCATAAATTATATAAATTATATTATTTTTCTTGTTTTTTTTCTTTTGGGGTCACACCCAGCAATGCTCAGAGCTTACTCCTGGCTCTTCTGTGCCCAGGAATTAGACCTAGCAGTGCTCAGGGGACCTTGCAGGATGCTGAGAATCAAACCCAGGTCGACCAAGTGCAAGGCAAACACCCTACCTGTTGCATTATAGCTCCAGCCCTGATTTTTCTTAAAATTTCTTGATATCTCAAAATTTCTTAAGCCAGACATTTTAGTTTCCAAGCAACTAAAGAATATGCAAATAAATATGACTAGAACCATCAGCTTCCACTTATAATTATTAATAACATGAATTCCCGCTGGAAGTGGTGCTTTAAAATTGTCCCCAGAGGAAATTTCAATTGATCGAAGATTAAGCAGGAAAGGGGAGAGTCCAAAAATAGCAGATAAGCTTGTTATTTGGCAAAAATTTTGAAAAAAGGTAATTTTTAAAAAATCTTTAATCAAGTTGGGGTTACTTTAGAGATCTGAGATAGGAAGGAAAGCCATCCTAATACTTCTTGCTTCTTGCAGATTTCAAGGAGGCCTTTCTCCTGTTTGACAGAACAGGTGAAAGCAAGATCACCTTAAGTCAGGTTGGTGATGTCCTTCGGGCACTGGGCACAAATCCCACCAATGCAGAGGTCAAGAAGGTGCTGGGAAACCCCAGCAATGAAGGTACGCACATATTTCTGAATATGAAATTGATGGAAAGTCTGTGTCCATCTATGATTAAAAATTAGTGACATTTATTAAGAAATAATTTCCATATGATGTAGTTTACTTTGCTCTTGATGCTAAGTGTACTGCTTGATCATCTGATCTCAGTTTTTCTGTCATAAAATAAGTTAACTTCCTCTGAAGTTTTGCAAGCATGATAAAATGTTTTTATGCTAATAGAAGGAGATCATTTCTAATGCTAACATCATTAGAACTGGTGTTTAAAGTTCAAGGATTAATTATATTAAATATGCAAATATAAATGTTTTGGAACTTTCAAAGGCAAAAACACATTTTTATGAAGGTATAGAATATCTCCAACATTTATCAAGAAAATGTTTAGACACAATGCGCCTTACAAATAACTCATGAAATTATACTTCCAGTAAAATAAGATGAACACATCTAGAGAAGAAGAAAACAGGAAAAGTAGTCACAGTGTTTCTATGAAACTGAAAATATCTGCTGACTTTCCAATATTCCATCATCATCACCCACCATCTTGGATGAAACTCAACTGCCTTAGTTAGGAATAGATAGAATAATATCTTACCATGAGTTTTCAGTTAAAAAAAAAAACAAAACATTTAAGGTCTAAGTCAAAAGCTACATTCAGTCAACCAAAGTAAATTTTGGGACAAAATTCTATGAGATACAGAAATGGCAAAAAGGAAGTGGCATTCCCAGGTATAGAAATTCAGTATATATATAATAAAGTAAAAACAATTCTATTGATTTGTGGCAATACTTAATCGTCTATTAAAATATTCTACCCTATTATTAAAAAATCCCACCCTAAACTTAAAAAAAAATATTTTTTTCAAGATGTTTGGGCTATTCATATTTGTTTTTGAAAAAAAGAAAAGAAAAAATAAATAATGTTATTTTTCTTGATAAGTGTTGGAGATATTACTCTATTACAGAAGTAAATTAGTTCATTTTAAGGACACCTGCTCAAAATCAACCAAACTTTTCTTTCTTTGCCTGAAAATTTCCCGCTTGAATGATGCAATAAGTAGTCAAGAACATGAAATAAAATGAGACAGCATTAAGCCTAATCTTATTTTAAATACTGTCATCAAACCAAATTTCTATCTTCAATAAAATTGTTGGATAAATATTTACTCATACTAAACTTAAATTTAATTCTTTTAATATTATTACTTAATGAACTATATTTCTATCCTACAAAGAAAGACCAATAGGAATTTATTACTTAAATATTTAACTACATCTACTTGCAAAAATCTGGAAAATCTATTTTATAACTATGTGTTAATGTGATATTTTTCACTTTTTGGGGGTCACACCAACAATGCTCAGGGGTTACTCAGGCTCTGCACACAAGAATTACTTCTGATGGGACTCGGAAAAATGTGGGATACCCAGGATCGAACCTGGGTCAGCTGTGTGCAACACAAATGCCCTACCTGCTGATTTTTATTTTTTGTCTTAGCAGACAATACTGCAGAAAGTTCTGTCATTCCTGTTCCTCTAAACTGCAAATAAGTCAGGAGATCATTAAGTGTTCAACGCACATATTGTCCTCCTAAACTTTTTAAAGTTACTTAAAATTTGAGCTGGAACTGAGGTTGAGCACAAAGGCATATGCATTGTTTGTGGGAAGTTCTTTAGTTGATCCTAGGCATTGTGAAAACCGATGATGAGTATATATGTCCTATCTAATTTCACTACTTTTATAGTACGATGGGCTGGAGCGATAGCAGAGTGAGTAGGAAGTTTTCCTTGCACGCAGCCTACCTACGTTCAATTCCTCTGTTCCTCTCAGAGAGCCCGACAAGCTACCGAGAGTATCCTCACCTGCACGGCAGAGCCTGACAAGCTCACCGTGGAGTATTCAATATGCCAAAAACAGTAACAAGTCTCACAACGGAGATGTTACTGGTGCCCGCTCAAGCAAATCGAAGAATAACAGGAGGACAGTGTTATAGTGCTACACTTTCACTTGTATAAAATAACTTGTGAAAGTTTATGGCTAAGTTTATCATTATTACATGACTATGACATCTATATGCTGATTTCTGCCAACCACCATATCTCTATTTAATTTATTAATCTTACTTTTGGAACACACTCAGCTATGTTCAGAGCTTACTCCTATCTCTGTGCTCAGGGTCATTCCTAGAGGGCCTCAGGGGATCACATAGAGAGTTAGGGATCAAACTGGAGTCAGCACTATGCAAGAGTGGAGGTTTTTGTATATAAATTTATAAAACATACGTAGTTGGATTTATCAAAATATATAATGCTTCCTGCTTCAATAAATGTTTCAAGGCTTTGAGAAGCACTTTCTATGGATTTTATTTGTCACGCTGAAATTCTGAACCCATTTGAAATTCACTGTGGAATAAAAGCTAAATCTGATTTTATTTTCTAGGCACTTTCATTTATGTGTATATAAATGTACACTACGCCTTATCCACTGTGCTATTACCCAGGCCCCTCAGCTCTATTTTTAAATGACAGATTTAAGGCACAAAGCAGTTAAGAAACTTGTCCATGCTCACATAGTTTTTTTTTCTTTTTTTTTTTCCCTTTATTTTATTTTATTTTTTTTAAAGTTGTAGATTTACAATTTTTTGTGCTTTGGTTTCAATTATACAATGATCAGATACCCATCCCTCCACCAGTGCCCATTTTCCACCACCATGGATAATATCCCTCCCACCCCCATCTCCCCATCCCCCCATCCCCCCTGTCTCTGTGGCAGGGCAATCCCCTGTGTTCTCTCTCTCCTTTTGGGTGTTGTGGTCTGCAAAAGAGGCATTGAGTGGCAAACATGTTCAGTCCATAGTCTACTTTCGACATGCATCTCCCCTCCTGGGAGGATCCTCCAAACATCCTTTATTTGGTGCTCCCTTCTCTATCTGAACAGCCCTTTCCTCTAGGATACCCGGCTGGCCTCTAAGTTATGGAGTAATCCTCCTGGTGCTGATCTCAGCTATTCTTGGGTATTAATCTCATACTTTGTTACTTTATATCCCCCAGATGAATGCAATCTTTCTATGTCTATCCCTCTCTTTCTGACTCATTTCGCTTAGCATGATACTTTCCATATTGTACCACTTGTATGTAAATTTCATGACTTCATCTTTTCTAAGAGCTACATAGTACTCCATTGTGTAGATGTACCAAAGTTTCTTTAACCAGTCATCTGTTCTTGGGCATTCAGGTTTCTTCCAGTTTCTGGCTATTGTAAAGAGTGCTGCAATGAACAAACAAGTGCAGATGTCACTTCGACTATACATTTTTGCCTCTCTGGGATATATTCCCAGGAGTGGTATTGCTGGGTCAAATGGGAGCTCAATTTCTAATTTTTTGAGAATCGTCCATACTGTTTTCCAGAGGGGCTGAACCAGTGGACATTCCCACCAACAGTGAAAGAGTGTCCCTTTCTCGCCACATCCACGCCAGCATCGGTTGCTTTTGTTCTTTTGAATGTGGGCCAGTCTCTGAGGTGTGAGATGGTATCTCATTGTGGTTTTGATCTGCATCTCCCTGATGATTAATGATGTAGAGCATTTTCTCATGTGCTTTTTTGCCATTCGGATTTCTTCTTTGAGAAAGTTTCTGTTCATTTCATTGCCCCATTTTTGGATGGGGTTGGATGTTTTCTTCTTGTGGAGTTTAACCAGTATTTTGTATATCCTGGATATCAACCCCTTGTCAGATGTGTATTCGGTGAATATCCTTTCCCATTCTGTAGACTGTCTTTGTATTTTGGTCACTGTTTCTTTGGAGGTGCAGAAGCTTCTTAGTTTAAGATAGTCCCATTTATCTATCTCTGTTTTCACTTGCTCGGCCAGTGGCGTGGCATCTTTGAAGATACCATTAGCTTCAATGTCATGGAGGGTTTTGCCAACTTTATCTTCAATGTACCTTATGGTTTCTGGTCTGATGTTGAGGTCTTTAATCCATTTTGATCTTACTTTTGTACATGGTGTTAGGCAGAGTTCTGAGCCTATTTTTTTGCATGTAGCCGTCCAGTGATGCCAACACAATTTATTAAAGAGGCTTTCCTTACTCCACTTCACATTACTTGCACCTTTATCAAAGATTAGATGAGCATATGATTGAGGAGAGATGTCAGTGTATTCAACCCTGTTCCATTGGTCTGCAGTTCTGCCTTTGTTCCAGTACCATGCTGTTTTAATTATTACTGCTTTGTAGTACAGTTTGAAGTTCGGGAGGTTGATTCCTCCCATTTTCTTTTTCCCAAGAATTGCTTTAGCTATTCGTGGGGGCTTATTGTTCCATATAAATTTCAAGAGTGTTTGCTCCATTTCTTTGAAGAATGTCATGGGTATCCTTATAGGGATTGCATTGAATTTATACAATGCTTTCGGTAGTATTGCCATTTTGACAATGTTAAGTCTCCCGACCCATGAGCAGGGGATATCTTTCCATTTCCTCATGTCCTCTTTTATTTCCTGAAGTAGCGTTTTGTAGTTTTCTTTGTACAGGTCCTTTACTTCCTTAGTTAAGCTGATTCCTAGGTACTTGATTTTCTGGGGCACAATTGTGAATGGGATTGTTTTTTTCATGTTGCTTTCTTCTCTCTCACTGTTTGCGTATAGGAAAGCCATGGACTTTTGGGTATTGATTTTATAACCTGCAACTTTACTATACAAGTCTATTGTTTCTAGGAGTTTTTTGGTGGAAGTTATTGGGTTCTCTAAGTAGAGTATCATATCATCTGCGAATAGTGAGAGCTTGATTTCTTCCTTTCCTACCTGAATGCCCTTAATATCTTTTTCCTGCCTAATCGCTATTGCAAGTACTTCCAGTACTATATTGAACAGCAGTGGAGAGAGTGGGCATCCCTGTCTCGTCCCTGATCTTAGAGGGAAGGCTCTCAGTTTTTCCCCATTGAGGATGATGCTTGCCGTAGGCTTGTGGTAGATGGCTTTAATTATGTTGAGGAAGGTCCCCTCTATACCCATTTTGGCTAGGGTTTTCATCATAAAGGGGTGCTGGATCTTATCAAATGCTTTCTCTGCATCTATTGATATGATCATATGCTTTTTATCTTTTCTTTTGTTGATATGGTGGATTATGTTGATTGATTTCCGGATGTTAAACCATCCTTGCATCCCTGGGATGAATCCTACTTGGTCATGGTGTATGATCTTTTTAATGAGTAGTTGGATTCTATTTGCTAGTAGTTTGTTGAGGATCTTTGCATCTGTGTTCATCAGGGATATCGGCCTGTAATTCTCTTTCTTTGTGGTATCTCTGTCTGCTTTTGGTATCAGTGTGATATTTGCTTCGTAGAAACTGTTTGGAAGTGTTTTTGATATTTCAATTTCGTGGAAAAGCTTAAAGAGCATTGGGAGTAAGTCCTCTTTAAAGATTTGGAAGAATTCACTAGTGAATCCATCCGGGCCAGGACTTTTGTGCTTGGGGAGACTTTTTATTACCATTTCAATTTCCTTGATGGTGATAGGTCTGTTCAGATATTCCAGGTCTTCTTGGTTCAGCCTTGGGAGTCTGTAGGAGTCTAGGAATTTATCCATTTCCTCGAGGTTTTGATGTTCCGTGGCATAAAGCTTCTCAAAGTATTCCCTGAGGATCCTCTGAATTTCTGTGGTTTCTGTTGTAATGACCCCCTTTTCATTTCTGATTTGGTTTATTAGGGTTTTCTCTCTCCCTTTCTTTGTGAGTTTTGCTAGAGGCTTATCGATCTTGTTAATTTTCTCGAAGAACCAGCTCTTGGTTTCATTGATCTTTCGGATTGTTTTTTGGGTTTCCATCTCGTTAATCTCTGCTCTGAGTTTTATTATTTCCTTTCTCCTGTTCGGGTTGTGCTCCTTTTTTTGGTCCTTCTCCAAGCTCTTAAGCTGTGAGGTTAGGTTACTTATGTGTGCTCGCTCCTCCTTCCTGAGGAATGCTTGTAGAGCTATAAACTTTCCTCTTAACACAGCCTTTGCTGTGTCCCATAAGTTTTGGTAACTCGTGTTCTCATTTTCATTCGTTTCTAGGAATCTTTTGATTTCCTCTTTGATTTCCTGTTTAATCCACTCGTTGTTCAATAGTGCCCTGTTTAATTTCCAGGTGTTTGATTTAGTTTTCTGTTTTTGTGTATGATTTACTTCTAATTTCAGCGCATTATGGTCTGAGAAGATTGTTGATACAATCTCTACCTTCTTAATTTTATGGAGGCATGTTTTGTGGCTCAGCATGTGGTCTATCTTGGAGAATGTTCCATGTACGCTTGAGAAGAATGTGTATTCAGCTTTTCGTGGATGAAGTGTCCTGTATATATCTACTAAGTCCCTTTCTTCCATTGTTTCCCTCAAATGAAGTATGTCCTTGCTAAGCTTGAGTCTGGTTGATCTATCAAGAGGTGACAAAGCAGTGTTGAAGTCTCCCACTAGTATTGTGTTGCTATTGATGTCTTTTTCCAAATCTATGAGTAGTTGTTTTAAGTACTTTGCTGGTCTCTCATTAGGTGCATATACATTTATTATTGTAAGTTCTTCCTGTTGTACAGATCCTCTGATCAATAAGAAATGGCCTTCACTGTCTCTTATGACCTTCCTCACTCTGAAATCGATGTGGTCTGATATAAGGATGGCTACCCCAGCTTTTTTATGGGAGCTGTTTGCCTGTAGGATTGTTTTCCAGCCTTTGACTCTGAGTCTATGTTTGCTTTGACTATTGAGATGCGTTTCTTGCAGGCAGCAGAATGTTGGGTTCAATTTTCTAATCCATCCTGCCACTCTATGTCTTTTAATTGGTGTGTTTAGCCCATTGACATTGAGAGAGATTATTGTTATGGGATTTTGTCCCATTGTTATGTTAAAATTTGGTGTATTTGAGGGGCCTTTCTTGCCTTAAAGTAGCCCATTTAGTTGTTCTTGTAACCATGGTTTTGAGTCTATGAAGTTCCTGAGCTGTTGTTTGTCTGTGAAACTGTGTGTTGTTCCTTCTATTATGAATGAGAGTCTTGCTGGGAAAAGTATTTTGGGGGAGGCCATGCTCACATAGTTGTTCATGTGATTTGGGGACTTAAGCACGAGCACAATGATTCCATAGCTCACGTATTATATACGACCAGCGTAGTAGTTGGTGGTACTAACTACCATCTGAACTACTTACCAAGTGAAATTACTGATATATAAAAAACGTTTTAGGTCGTTGAACTTTCAAGTTCAATTTGTTACTTAAAGATGCAAATTTATGGACATCAATAATTCTACAAATTTAAATTCTTTCAGAGATGAATGCCAAGAAAATTGAGTTTGAGCAATTTCTGCCCATGATGCAAGCTATTTCCAACAACAAGGACCAGGGTGGTTATGAAGACTTCGTGGAGGGTCTGCGTGTCTTTGACAAGGAAGGCAATGGCACGGTCATGGGTGCTGAACTCCGCCATGTGCTGGCCACACTGGGTAAGAAAAATTTACTTTATTAGAATCAATAGACAAAAAGTAAAGGGAAGCATAGAGCATAAGAAATTTAATAATACAGCTGGCAAGGCATTCGCCTTGCATGTGGCCAGCCTGGGTTCAATCCTCGGCATCCCATATAGTCCCCCAAACACCGTCAGGAGTAATTGTGGAATTTATTTATTTATTTATTTAATAGATTTATGGTTTAGGAGAATCTTATTATGACTAAAAGGGATAGGAAGGACATTTTTTTAGTAGTCAAATGTAATGACCATCACTTGGCCTTGGTGACAACAAATTACTTTTGGGAAAGTGAACATTCAATACTCAATATTTATAATGCATCAGTCAAAGAAAACGTTGTCTTTGTTAAAGAATGTAGTCTGTATAATCTGAGATAATGTACATTATTCATTCAAATTTAATTTATTGCTGGATGTTCGATTCTTGTATGAATGAAGCTCAAACATGAACGTTTTATAACTGTAGTTCATGGTGATTCAATAAAAAAAATTTTAAATAAATTGTAGTTTCTGGTGAGTAAAAACCTTAATTTATTGACAAATTTATGTAAAGTGCAAGAGAAACAAAGGGCATAATTCCTAGACCCCAAAAGTTTGGTAAAGTCTCTAGAAGTCTCCAAGTAATCACTGGAATTCTGAAAATATTATCTAGCCTTCATTTTTGAATAGACACTTTTGTTTCATAGGTGAAAAGATGAAAGAGGAAGAAGTAGAAGCTCTGCTGGCAGGTCAAGAAGACTCCAATGGGTGCATTAACTATGAAGGTACAGTTCCATGTGTTCTGATAATCTCAGCAATTTTTTTAACTGATCATGTTAATTATGCACTTCATTTGAGCATAAAATAACTTATTTTCTTCCTTTAGTGCATATATATACATTATTTATTCCCATCAATTGCATAAGAAATCTAAAACTATGCTCTATAAGGGTATTAATAGATATATAAACATCTACCTAAGTGCACTTTAATATTCCTGTGCATTGATTTGTAGTTTAAACTGTGCTTGCACATGTATTCTTCTTGTTATAGCTTTACTCCACTTTTTTTAAATGAACAGGACTGGGCTGGAGCAATAATACAGCTGGTAAGGCATTCGCCTTGCATGTGGCCAACCTGGGTTCAATCCTCGTCATCCCATACAGTCCCCCGAACACCGTCAGGAGTAATTTCTGAGTGCAGAGTCAGAAATAACCCCTAAGCATTTCTGGGTGTGACCCAAAAAGCAAAATAAATAAATAAATAAAATAAAAATAAATGAACAGGGCTTATTGAATTGGAGAGATAGCACAGGCATTAATTAATTTGCCTTGAAAGCAGCCAACTGAGTTTGATCCTTAGCACCCCAGCACCATATGTAGTCCCCTCAGCATACCCGGGCGTCATTCCTAAGCACAACTAGTTAGGCCTAAGTCATGAACACCAGTGGATTTGGGAAAAATAAATTAACAGGTTTTGTATCAAAATAAAATTTACTGAAATCACAAGTTCTAGGGGCCAGAGTGATAGTAAAGCAGGTAGGGTGCCTGCCTTACAAATGACTGACCTGGATTCGATTTCCAGTACCCTACAATTTCCCCAGATCTCCACCAGGAGTGATCCCTGAGTGCAGACCCAGTAGTAAGCCTGGAGCACAGCTGGGTCTGACCAAAAACAAAACAAAACAAAACAAAACAAACCCACAAGTTGTAAAGACCTCAAAATACACATTAATCCATTACAAATAATAAGCAAATATGAAAATGAGTAAACTGAAGACCCAAGAGGTTTGGTTACTTAATAAAGGTCAAATCATCATTGTATCTCTGGTATTAAAATTTAGCTCTTCTCATCTACTGTTCTCATTCATCTCTTGCTGCCAATTATCCTTCCCTGCTACCAAATTTATAATGTTAAAAATTAATCAATGATTTTCATTTTTTTATAAATATATACATAAAGGAAGGTCATTAGTAAGTAATGTACACATAAATGAAAGTGTCTAGAAAATAAAATCAGATTTAGCTTTTATTCCACAATGAGTTTCAAATGAGTACAGAATTTCAGCGTGACAAATAAAATCCATAGAAAGTGCTTCTCAAAGCCTTGAAACATTTATTGAAGCAGGAAGCATTATAAATTTTGATAAATCCAACTACATATGTTTTATAAATTTATATACAAAAACCTCCACCAGAAGTAAAATCAAAAGACAAACCAGAAAAAAATGCAATTTATATTAGAAATAGCTCATTTAAATTTTTTAATATTCTTATATTAATATAATGACCATAACCTAAATGAAAGAATTGTTAGTAAAAGGAAAAGTAATTCATAGAAAATTAAATATATAATATATGAATGGAAAATGCTGTTCACATTTGTCAGAATATTAAGAGGTGCAGATTATCATTATACGATCACGATCACGACCACCCTGTTGTTCGTCGATTGCCTCGAGCAGGTGCCAGTAACGTCTCCTTCGTCCTAGCCCTGAGATTTTTTAAAAAGTGCCATATTCAAGGCTCTTTCAGGGTTAGGAGAATGAGACCCATCATTGTTACTGGTATTTGGCATATTGGGTATACCACGGGGAGTTTGCCAGACTCTGCCGTGTGGGCATGTTACATTTGGTAGCCTGCCAGTTTGACCAAATTAGGAATGAGATGATAAGATGTCGCGCGGCCGCAAATGCGGGAGCTGAGTGTGATAATCTCTGGATCCTGGTCGTTGTTGGAGTTATCACTATACGGATACCATTTTTTAAAGTAAACCAATTGCCCAAGATTACAAAACATTTGAAGATATTTTGTGTCAAGGAGTGTGGAAACAGTTGAACTCATGCGTTCCAGGTGGAAATACAGATCATTAAAATCCCCACATGGGGGGCCAAAGTTATAGTACAGCAGGTAGGGCATTTGCCTTGCACACATCTATCCAGGATAGATCTCCAGCACCCCATGTGGTGATTATACTATTATTTGACAAATTTACAGTGAGAACTGTAAATAATCTTCACAGTAGCAAATGATCCTTTATACATTAGATCATATATGCATATACATTTCTTCATTACTGTGTTGTTCACAGCAGCCAACTTCTTAAACAACTTACTATCAACATATAATACATACTATAAATTCTTGATATATCCATGCTGAAATACATGCAGCCCTTAAGAAGAATAAGGATATTCATATTTATGTTTTTTGAAACATCTCCAAGATAGATTAATTAAAAGAACGAAGGTGCCAATGTGTTTGTTTAGTCACCATTTGCATAAAGAGTGTTTTATATACCTAAATTTGTATTTTATTTATATATTCAAATTAACTATAAAGAAATAAACTATGAGACAGGGAGACTTTTAACCATGTGCATGTAATCGATAAAAATATGCCCGTAAAGGAGTGCAAACTCTACAAAAATTAAATCTATCAAAACAAGAAAAATTCATAGATTATTAAGAATAGCGGGCTGTATAGAACTTCTTAAAATAAACTCTATGTTATGGCTGAAAAAAATAAGGAATGAGATTATCTGCTAATTTATCTTTCTTTTCTTAAGTTGGACAATCTTTTAATGCTACACTATCTGAATTATCCCCACAGCTTTTGTCAAGCATATCATGTCTATCTAAATGAAGCTCTCAAGGTATATTATCTGTCCTTTTATTAATACTAAAAACTTACTTGAGATCATGTTTCTTTTATTTAACAGCTCCAATTTACATGCTACTTATTTAATTATTGGTTCTTAGTGAAGTTGCTTATATTAGCCAGAAAAAAATCTGAACTTCTTTAAAAGTAGAGCATTTTTGTAATGATCTAAATGCAAAAATTCTGATGTTTGTTTCCCTATGTAAACAATATTAATAAAAATATGAGCTTACATTTTTTAAGTAATCTAATATTTGCTAATAATAACTGCTTTCTAATATCCTGCCTAAAGTTAGGCACCTTTAACTGGCAAGTGCAATGACTTACCTTGGAAGTGCTGGTTTATTTATATTATTTCTTTTGCATGTCACATTATTTCCCCTCCAATTTCACTTATGAAAATATATAATTAACTTTAAGTCATATTCTCTTTATCTCTGCAGATCAAACATTGTCTAGGAAGACTGGCTGGAACATTATTTTAATAACACCTAGGACAAAGGTCCAAATTTGTTTACTGTCATTCAAGTGAAAAAATGAGCTGTTCTAAACTGAGCTGTTCTACCTGAATTTTTATGTACCCTACATTTCTTTTGAATTTTAATTCACACCACACAAACCAAACATTTGCTGATCAAAAAAAATATATTCTGACAATCTCATATCCAAATATCTCTCTTTATTTTCTATCATGAGTCAGTGAACATCCTTAAAATAATAAATTAATAATTTTGGTCAGTCTAGAATGTCAAAGTCTCGTGTGTTTCTATCTTCTTGCTTTGAGAAAATTATTGTTATCACTTTATTCTTTTGTTAATGTTTAATGATTTTAAAACCTTTAAAAGAACAAATTATTGTAACTTACATAATAATAACAGCAATAATGAAAATCATATTAGTGAAAAGGTGAAATTGAGAACTGAAGAGATTTTGATAGGATCAGAAACATTTTACTATGTGGAGGCTGAAGATGGATGGTTTCTTAGGTTTTGAATTAATCATAGTGAACATGACTTGATCTAGTTGACTTCTAGTGCCACTCTGATCTTACAGATTTTTTTTTTTGCTTTTTGGGTCACACCCGGCAATGCACAGGGGTTACTCCTGGCTCTGCACTCAAGAATTACTCCTGGTGGTGCTCAGGGGACCCTATGGGATGCTGGGAATTGAACCTGGGTTGGCCGCATGCAAGGCAAACGCCCTACCCGTTGTGCTATTGCTCCAGCCCCATCTTATAGATTTCTTTAACCCTTGATTTTTCTCACTGAATATCGTTTGCTTAGTTTTATTTTGTTTCTTTTGGAACCATCTCCAAAGAAGTTCAGAGTTTCTGCCTGGTTGTGGACTTAAGAATCATTCCTGGTAGTGCTAGAAGACAATATGCAGTGATGGAGATCAAACCAAGGCAGGCCATGTGCCTTATCACTAAATGCTAGGACTAATTTATCATAACAGAACTCTGTGATATGTATCAATTTTTCTTTTGAATAAAGGCAAACATGTAAGGTTAACGATTGACTGGAAAGCATTAAAAGACAATAGCTCTCCCATCTTCTAAAAGATATTTGTAATGTGAAATTATAAAATCGGAGTACCTGCCTGCTTCTTTATTTGGGGGAACTGAAACAACTTTTCTCTAATGTTGGGATCTTGTCTTCAACACTCTCCTGTTTCCGTTCAGTGAAGGTCACTCCAATTAAGTTTTCAACAGCTTCAACTTTGATCTGTGCTTTTGTAGCCAAGGTGTCGGGCTCACTTTTCTAAAAATGACTCACCTTGGCCACCTGATCTTTAAGACCAAGTTTGACGGGAACCAGGAACTTGACATTTCACAAGGTGTTGTCCACTAGAGTTTCCTGTGAAAATGAAAGACTGTATCTGCACTGTCCCACTGTCCCACTAACCACAGGTCACATATGGCTATTGAACCCTTAAATTTATGCAAAGTAATGCAAATGAGAACAGAATCTTTAGTTATATCACATTTTGATTGATTAAAATCAGCACAACTGGCTCACAAACACTATATTCAACAGTGTACCTTTTGATATATATTTGTATTTGGTTGTCTCATCAGGCAATACAAAAATGTTTCTGAAAAAAATTACAAATGTGCCCTTAATGGAAAATTTGACCGGTGCAAACAGTCCATTTATAGAAGGCTCATTTGTTTATTGAAATATGTAATTAAGTTTCCTGTCATCTACATTTTTCAGAAAAATGTTATGTCTACAAGGTACTGAAGTTTTCATCTCAAGCTTCATATTTAATGCTTTTCCCTTAAGACCTTACAAAATTGTTTCTGACTCTCAGAGGGATAACATGTAGTACACTAACTTGAGACCTAACCTTATTAAATTTCCATGAGTGAAGTGTCCATAACTCAAGTAGTAGCAGGTGCAGAAGAGAGTAGCAGACAGAAGAGTGAAAGTATTTTTTAATATCTACTCCAGCTGGCAAAAACAACAGGTGCCTAATTCCTCTATCTTTAAAAATAACTTTTGAAAAGGCTACACTGCATAAGCAAATATTTTCAAATTTGTGTTTAACTATATCCAATTTACCTCCTTGAATAAGTATTATATATTAATTTTTTCCTCAAAGTATATTTAAAGCTTAAATAGCACACAAAAACTCAAACCAATCACTATGAATGAAATAAATGATGCTTATTAATTTGGGGAAACTATTTTTAGACCTTATAGCAATGTTTCTCTAAAAAACACGAGATATACACACACATATATATATATTTCCTCACTGTATATGGACAAATATCTTTATCCATAGTAGCAAATATAACTTAGGCCTTAATAAAATGAAAAAATATATTTAATGTTGAAGTCTAATTCTAATTAATCAAGAAATATTTTTTAAGTAGTCAGATTCAAAAACCATTTCAATTGGTCTCAGTGACAATGACTTTGGTTTGGACAAGTAGAAACTATACATACTAATATAAATAAAATGCATTACTGTGTTTCTTACAATTATTTTTTATTCTTATGCCTTAAATATTTAATAATACACCATATTTAGAGGATAAACTTCAAAGATTATCAAGTCACATCATATATTCTATAGTTTTTCAAATTGTTTCCTAGTATTTCTTCTTGAATATTCTTCTTCTTACTCATACTAAATATCAGTAGAGTAGAGCATAGATGAGTTTCAATCTGTTCTGTAAAATATTAAATGGGAAACTTTGATCACATAACACATAAAATAGAATATTATGGAGTCTTCTCATAAAAATTAAATGAGGTGCCATAAACTAAGTAGCTATGTAAGGGACATTTATTATAAGGGACAAGTAAGTGAATGGTGACTATTATTGTAATCATTACCCTTTAAACTGTCACAAAAGTTTTTACTCTCTAATGATTTAATATCTTCTAAGACTGTTCAGGTTTCATATCCTCCACTGACTTTTTCTCATTGCATCCACATACAAGTACCCACCAAGGTATACTTTTATCACTTGCACCAACTGTAATATTTATAACACAGAATAATTATTTGCATCACAAAATAACTGTATCTCAGAACCCAGAATGATGCCTTACATATGGCTAGCACTAAATAAATATTTTTAGCGTGAATTAGTGGATAAATTAAATTATTTTTTATGTCTTCTATCCAGTTTATCTTGAAACTATGAAATATGTCTAATTGACAGTGTATACTGAGGGTTTAGGAGAGTAATAAAATCCAATCAGTTAGTGAATTTGTAATAATAAATGATTTAGAATGTATTGATAAATTAAATTTTCTACAACTACATAAGATAATTCTGAAGTGCATATATATATATACATATATATATATCTCCATTCTCTATCTTCTGTAACTAGGAGGCAAGTGGGTACAAGTATGTATAAATTAAATAGTGAGTACAAATCAACCAGATGATAAGTGGGTACAAGTTAAATAGTGGGTACAAATTAGATAAATGTTCCAAACACTTTTTAATTAATAGTATCTAAAATGCTAATTTAACCAAGATATGGATGTAACCAAGTTCAATGGAAAATGGTTGAAAGAATTGTCTATGTTACCAATTCTATCATAAAATAAAGGTGTGGGGGATGAAATAGGTTTGAGTTCAGGGCCCATGAGCTCCTTATGGGTCCATGAACTCTTCAGGAGCCATGAACTCCTTATGAACTTCTCTAGGGACTAAGACTTCCCTGGCACTGCCACTGTAGCTTACTATCTGGCTGGTCCTGGCAATAAAATATACAAGCCAGTCAGTAATACTGGGAGTGGCCTTGTATCCCTTGAACACTGCTTGGGAACCCTCATTTACCACCATCCCCCCAAAAAGATAGTAACCAACAGGCCAAAAATTTTCTGCTTCTAAAGTTTTCTTTCATTCGCTCAATTAAAATAATATCAAATATTATGAGGACAATACTGAATTTACAACACTTTAAAATTATTCATTTGGAGAATATCAATGAGCCAATGAAGGAGGAAAAGAAGGATAAGAAGGAGTACTTCTTTTGGATTTATAGTCTGTTGTTGGAAAAATAGTTAAGTAACCAAAGGCAGAAGCAACTAACATAAGTTACAATGTAACATAACTATAGAGAAATACAAAGTAAGGGAGAGTAAATGAGGAATGCCAAAGAAAGAGAAGAATTAAGAAAAGAAAGATTAGGGAAGACCAGAAAGACTGGGTGAGGGGGAATCCAAACAGTGTAATATATCTAATGCTTTTAATTCCAAAAGATAGTTTCTTCTCTATAAACAAGCAATCCAAATCATTGTATTTCCCCTCCCCCTTATCAATATGAGTCGATATTTACTAAATTCCTATTTTTCTAGTCCAAACATCAAGTGCCAAATAAAACCTTTCCTCTCCCCTTGGAAATAACAGGGACCAAACTCAGGGTCTCTTAGATGCAAGAAAAGTACTCAAGCTTTGAGATACATCCCCAGCCCATATTTTAGCAATATTAAATGTTTAATACTGGGCAGGAGCTTTGACTACTATCTGATTTCTTCAGCCCTTTTGCCTTTGCTTTTTCAGTGTGATTTCTGCATTACCCATGATTACAGAAAAACTGTGTCCTATTGTTTCTGCATGAAAGTAGTCAAGAAGCTCAGAACAAATTTAATGTATTATAAAATTCTCTCATAATTTTTAAAATATTTTCTCTACCTCTTTTTAATCTAAGTTTTTCCCTGTTAAAAGGGCTTGCATAATAAATCACAAAAAAATTGTTTGGAAGTATTGGAGTTACAAATTATAATAAGCATATTAAGCATATTTGTAGACTTCATGGTTTCTTTTTATTGATATAAATTTCATTTATTACCTATGAAATCACATCCCTGGATCAAACAGAAAAAAAAGATGATAAAATGGCTCATAAGGTTCCTGGACATCAAGCATTTTTCTACCAAATAATATTTCAATGAGTAATGTGTAACTGAATCAGAAACACATTTAATTCTCCTTGAAATTTACCTGACTGTAGCCTGAGTTTTACCCTTATTATCTGCTGACTTTGCTAAGGCCAAATGAAAAAAAAACAACTAAAGTTTCATTTTTTTTTTCTTTTGGGGTAACACCCGGCGATGCTCAGGAGTTATT